AAAAAACTCTAATTAAATCTGAAACCACTGAGTTCAAAGACCAGTTAATTTTTACAAACATTTTACACATTAAGACATGAATTTTTAAAAACCTGGGGCTCAAGAAAATAGTAAGACTTTTATTTACCTAGTTATTTTTGAACCTTCTTTTTTTTAGAGACAAGGTTTCATTCTGTTGCCCAGGCTGGCATGCAGTGGCATGATCACAGCTCATGGCAGCCTCTAACTCTTGGGCTCAAGCAATGTTCCTCCTGCCTCAGCCTCCCAAGTAGCTGGGACTACAGGCACCTGTCACCATGCCCGGCTAATTTTCTTGTTTTTTGTAGAGATGGGGGTCTCGCCATGTTGCCCAGGCTGGTCTTGAACTCCTGGCCTCACGAAATCCTCCCACTTCAGCCTCCCAAAGTGCTGAGATTACAGGCAGGAGCCACCATGCACAGCCTGATTTTCAAATCAGTGTCAGAATGCTTTTACTTTAGCCTGCTCTTTGCAAGGCCGTGGTCATGCTAATCCATGTCCTCCCACAGATCCTCCTTGCAACCTTTCCCCCAGCACAGCTGCCTTCTTCCTGACAAAGAGGCTAGCCTAGGGGAAGGACATGCTCTTTTGGCAGGACTAGGGTGCATGAGCCATGTGATGACCTTTCACCTGTGACAACACTGACCCCACCAGGCCTCTGATCTAAATCTTTCCTGTACTCCTTCAGATCCCCAACTCTCAGGCCAGCCTTGATGACTTCAGGGTCACCATCATTCCTCCAAAGGACCAGGGAGGTGAGCTGCCACCATGCCTTGGAATCATCTTTGCGTCTTGGGGATAGGGGCCTCCCACCACCCCTGGACAGTAGAAGTGGGATGTCTAGTCCAGGCTGGGGTGTGGGCAGAGCTTGGTGACTATCCTCTCCTCCGTGGCTGTTCCTAATTGGCACTTATGCAGCTCCCCCTCTGCATAAGTCCGTGGAGAGATGTTATCAATAGGCCATTCCACCCATCTTGGAGGGGCAGATGAGGTGAAGGACAAGTTGCCCAATTCCTCTGTTTGGGGAACAGCATCTACCCATCCTCGGGCACCCTAAAGGCAGGGCATGTCCAGCTTCCAGAAACCCTGCACCCTCCACCCAGCTCCTACTGGCCTATGTGCAGTTTTTGTTTGCTTATTTGTTTTTTAGAGAATGGGTCTTGCTATGTTGCCCAAGCTGGAGTGCAGTGGCTATTCACAGGTGCAATCATAATTGCACACCACAGCCTGGAACTCCTGGACTCAAGCAATTCCCCCACCTCAGCCTCCTGAGTAGCTGCGACTACAGTTGCACACCACCTTGTCCGGCTCCATGTGCAGTTTTAATTGCACAGAAAGCTGAGCTGTTATTCTAATCTGTTTAAAGGGCTCCAAAACACCAACATCCTTGAGGCATTAGCAGGGTACAGCCCCAAGGGGCCAGTGGGGGACTATTAACCCAACCCTAGCACAACAGTCCTGGGAAAGAAGTTTCAGTCTCATTCTCATCCCTGCATTCTTATCGACTGCCCTGTTCCACACTCTGCGCCAAGCTGCGAAATGCTCGTTTCCTGCAAAGCACCGTGGACCAGAGCTCAAACCTCACTGAGCCCGCAAATCCCCCAAAGATCTTTCAAATACAGACTGTGATTCAGGAGGCCTGGGGTGAGGGCCCAGGTGTCTGCGTTTCTAACAAGCTCCCAGGTGATGCTGATGCTGCATATCCTCAGGCCACACTCAGAGGAGCAAGGCTCCACTAGACCTTCACCTTCCAGACGAATGTGCATCTTAAATTCGCACTTCAGAAAGGTGCCCTTTAAATTATTTAGCTCAAAGAAATGAACCTCCAAAGGTGAAACTGCAGGTAAGGTAGCTTGTTGGCTGGGGGAGCTATTTGGGAGGCAACCAGGACCATCTGCCATCACAACCCTCAAATCAAGCCCTTTGGTAAGCAGATGTGAGAGCCCCGCTGTGTGGAGGTGAGGAAGGCCAAGACAGACGCATACGGGGGCCCAGCCCAGGTAAGGCCAGGATGCTAGCTCTGGGCCTCCCACCCCTCCCTGCTCCTCCAGCACCTGGAGCAGAGCTTCCTGGTTCACAGTCATTTATGTAGTGCCACCTTTCCAGCTCATGGGGTATGCTCCCTCTCTGCCATGCAGGCAGTCTGCCTTCCTGCCCTCCCCATCCTGGAAGTCGGCACCAAGCACTTGCTATTCCCTCAGCCAAGAGGCCCCTTCCCAGCTCCTCCTCTGCAGAGCGACATCTGGTCCCCCGCACCCCCATAGGTGCTGACCGCAGTGCGCCTACCCCTGCACCATGAACCAAGCACCAACTCGGAGCCAGCTCTCCCCTCCATGGGCTGACTCATCAGCACCTTGCTCCTGGCCTCAATAAGGTTCTTTAGGCCCACCCCCAACTGGCACCCTAATTCTTCCCTGTGCAAGGGTCTGACTCCACCCAACACACACACACACACACCAATCCTCCTGCCTCTCCAGCTTATTTTAAAATCCAAACTGGGGTGGGGGCACTTGCCAGGGGGCTGGAAGGCAAGGGTCAATGCCTGTTCTGGTCCTAGAAGGCAAAGTTCACAGAAGAGGAAGGCTCTGCTTTATGAATTACTGGGGAGGGTGGGGCGTGTTACTACCCAGGAAAGGATAATTTCCTTCCAGTGGACAGCTGAGAGCGCCAGGCCTGGGGCTGGGGTCGCAGTGGGGCGGCGGCTGGCGGCCAGCGGCGAGAGCACCGGATCTCCGGATCTCCGCTCACCGCATGGAGGCAGCCGCTCTAGGTGCCCGCCCGGGGAAAGCAAGGCACCGAGTGCCCGCCGTCTGGAGCCGCCACCACCTTGGAATGCGCGGGCTCTGCACGAGTCCCGGGCTGACCTGCGGTGGAGACGAGGGGCAGTGCTCTTGGGCGCGAGCCCCTGGAGACAGCCAGCACCGCCTGCAGCGGGCCAGCCCCGGGGCCAGGAGGCCAAGCATGACACGCACAAGGTTCCCGGCTCCGCGAGGGGCGCCTCTTCCCTTAGCCAGACCGGACTGGGGAAAATGCATAAGTCCCCTGGGGTCTCGCGCGGGCACAGCGAAGTGAGGAAGGGGGTGGACCTACGTGACTTTAGGTCCCTTCAACCCGGCTGCCCACCCCGCAGTGGGGGTGCGCCCCACCCCATCACCACTGCCCAAATGGGGACCCAGGGCTCAGAAGGGGACGGGATTGAGTCCCAACGCTCTCTACTCCCGATATTCTCCCCCCACCCAGACCTGGACCCTCTCCGAAGCGCCAAGAACAACGTCCCCGAATGTTCGCGGTCCCAGGACCGGGGGTAGGGAGTGGGGTGCCTCTCCTCCCAAGGCCAGCGCGGAGAGAATTCGAGTTCCTGGGAATGAAAGTTGCCGCGTGTCCGGCCGCGGGCTGCGAGCAGGGCGCAGAGCGGGGCCAGGGGCCCGCACGGAAGGAGGCCCCGGGCGCCTGCCGCGGGTGACGGCCGCGCCGGGAACAAGTGGTTCGGCGGCTGCGGTCGCGACCAACTTTCCCGCCGCGCGGCAGGCGAACGGCGCGGGGAAGGCGAGGCAAGCGGGGAGGGAAGGGGCGGTGCGCGGCTCGTGGTACCGTGTGCGTGTGCGGAGCGGCGCCGCGCCGCGCCTCGGGCTCTGCTCTCCGCCGGATCGGCCCCGCGGGCCGCCTGCTGGGCCCTGGCTACGCCGCGTCTCGCCGCCGGCGCGAAGGCTCATCCGCGGCTCGCCGGCCGCTCCGGGGTCCCCTCGGGCCGCCCGCTCGCCGCTCGCCGGCCGCAACTTCAGGCGCGCCGCGGGCTCGGACGAGGCACGCCCCAAACGTCCCGAGGCTCGGCACCCCCGCGCTCCATGCCCGGCGCCGGCCGCCCCGCCCTGCCCGGCTCAGTGCCCGGCCGCCGTCGGACGCGTCCTCCGGCCGAGCATCGCGCCCGCTGCCCGCGCCCCTCTCTCCCGAGCCGCCGCCGCCGCTCAAGTCCGCGATCAACTTTCCCTCGCTTCCCCCGCCCCGC